AGCAATGCGAAGCTACAAATTCACACCTATATCCGAAACTGCAGCCATCCAAAAACTGCTCGAATCAGTTCCCGGAGCTCGGACCCAGCCCAAATGCATTTTCCAAGGCATGCTAAACGCATTCGGCCCTAGTTTCGGCAAGCCCGCCGTTCAATGCCGTCCCCACTATAATAGGAGCCCAACTTTGGGATTATTTCTAAAAGGAAGTATGCTGTCGGCCGCGCAGTACAAAGCCGCTTACATGGCTAAGGCTGCCAGCGGCTGCTTGCCCATGGCCCAAGGCCATTTTGGGATCTGCTTGATTCTCCACGAGTCCACTGAGCTCCGTCATGCTCTACTGTGCTAGCAATAGAGCGGAAGGCTGCATGTCTCAAAGCATCCAAGTGTCCTCCATACCAGTGCGCCACGGTCAACCTTGCATCTGCACTGCTTGCGCACACTACACATGCCTCCTTGTCGTTTTCACCTCATGAGCCACATCATTGCAAAATCGTCACCACTATCACTGTCAGCTCCACCACCACCACTGCCGCCGCCGCCGCCCCCACCACCACCACCACCACCACCACCACCACCACCACCACCACCACCACCACCACCCTTGATAATGATGACGACGACGACGACGATGATGATGATGATGACGACGATGAAGCTCGAGCTGCTTCTCAGTCGTTGTGTACACAACATCCGGTGCTGGATCCCTCGGACATCTCTTTGAAGTCCAGCATGAACCAGGTGAACTTTCCATTCAATTTGCGCGGCGCGTCAGCCTCAACGACATCAGCGAGGCCATCTCCATCAGGGGAGGTGCGGGTGGCTGACGCGCAGACGCGTCCACCAAGCATCAGTGCCAGCAGGCTCGACTTGGCGTGAACATGAGCAGGCAACGCGAAAGCGTGCAAGAAACATGTGAGAAGGCTGCTAGTTTTAATAAGGCTATAATAAAGCTACTCGTAGCGGACACCTTGACGTGGAGCGGCAAGACCAAGTTCATTGTGACCGTTTCCGGCAAGCAAAACCGGGCCGGGCTGATCCAACACTTCTGTCTAAAGACAAGGGGTACTACAGCAGTCATCAGTACAACATCGTGTAACTGGAAGAATACCTAGTGTCTCCAGCACTCTGGTCACCAGCCAAACAGGCAGCGCACACCTCCGGACCGTCGCACCCGCCAGAGTATTAGAAAGCTTGTGCTCAGTGGGGAAGTCTCCAATCCAGAATGGAGTTGGAGATGTACGAAGCATAGTGAATCATAAAGCCGAGAACCAGCAGAGCAAGACACGATATGACTGGAACGGGTTTTTACGGCATTGCTGGAGGCTGCGAAAACAGACGTTGACCAGACGTGGCAATCGTGAGAAAGGGAAGCAGCGAAAGGTAGCTTCCGTGATAACTGAAGTGGCTCGGTGCGCCTGTGCTGAAAGTTGTGATGATACGAACGTGTGCATGTCCGCCAAGTTTCACAGAAACCTTGGGCCAAGGCGGCTCATCGCTGTCATGGGCTCCAAGAGCGACCCAAAGTGAAGACGGAAGCAGCACACAGTGGGCTCCAGCTTGATGCTTGTATCTTGTAGGAATCCCATTCTGCACTGCTGCACAGAGAGTCCTGGTAGAAATGCTATCAATCTATTGAATCATCTTGGCTGAAGTGCATGGAGCCAAAATTTTGCGTCATGGCTCCGATGCAGGCGACTCTCGGGTGGAGGAACCCACCTCTTCCTGGTCTTTTTGTTACTTTCATGGCAGTCTTCGAGTTCGGTCTGGGGTCTGAATGACTGCCGACGACGGTGCTGACATTTTGCCGCTCATGCTGCCTTGCTCACGTGGCCCAAGCGGCGTAGCAGCCGCCTATGGACAGGTTTCTCATGCTATTGTCGCCCAACTCTGACTCAACCATGCAACGTGCTCTGTTTGGCGCCTCACCGACCACATCAACGGGCCCCTTAAGATGCAACCGGCTGTGACGGCCAGCATGCAACAGCCAGCCAAGTGCCATAGGAGAAGGCCTTTGGTAGGAAGGGCAAGGAGATGCTGGTTGACGATACAGTCATGGGACAACGAAGAACTTGCACAAGAAGACAAGCCGAAACAAGAGCAAAACCATCCACACCGTTAAAAGGTGTCATCTGGCACGGTCCGGAGGCAAAAATCCAAGTCAAGCGAGGGAGTCAAGAGACAAAATACACCCTCCTCTTTCTGGCCGAACAAAAGAAGACAAAGCACGGTTTAAGTTTACAATGCTTTCAAGCCGCGGTGGGTAACACCCATTCATGCTTGACTCTACAAACAGCCTCCGTTCCCGATCAAAGAATGCCCAACACTGCGCCAAGTAGCCGTGCCCAGTATCCGCATCCTGAAGCGCACACCCACACACACTCACACACTCGCGCGTGCACACACACACACTTGAACACCCAG